AGAAGGATGAAGACATAGACGGTTGCGTCTGTTATATGAGGAAATGTCTTGGACTCCCATGCAGACATGAAATTCGTGCAAAGATGAATGCACGACGTGGTGTGTTTTATGCAGAGGATGTCCACATTTTTTGGAGGACATTTATTTCGGGATTCGGGGATTCCCTAGATGAAAGTGTTGGTTCTGTTCCCGACCACAGGTCACAGGCTATTGGCAGGCTAGAAGGGTTAATGAATGATTTGCGTGAGCGGTCAGAAATTGAGATCACGGACGTGACAGATGCCATTTTTGAACGAATGCATCCCGGGGCCATGGAAATGAATGCGCCACAAGTACTAGACTGCCCGAGAGGTAGACCGCGGACGAACTCTACACAGAGGGATTGGTCAGGGCATGAGTTTCCATTATTTCCGGGAGAAGGTGAAGAGTCTGGACGAGGGCGAGGACGAGGACGAGGACGATCACGAGGCAACAGAGGGCGTGGTTCATCTTCTGAGAGATCTAGCCGTGGTCGCGCTCGTTCATCGACCGTGAGTGGACCCGCAATAGGTCAAATTCCCCGACCCCCTTGGATGCGACACCTTCATTTCTGCCTTGTTCCGGAGGTTGTGACGTGGACGGACGTTCAAGGGGATGGTAATTGTGGTTATCGAAGCGTCGCGTGTGCAGTGAAGAACCACGAGGATGATTGGATGGATGTTAGAATGGATGTTTATAACTGTATTAAAACACACGAAGAGTTCTTCAAGGATTATTTCGGTGGTGGTAATTTAGTGTATCGGGTATTGGCGAGTGTCGCTTATTGGGACAACGCCCCAGCACCCTATGAGAAGTGGATGACTATCACGGACGTGGGCGTGGTTGTGGCAACATATTACAACGCGTTGGTCTTGTCGGCTAGCAGCTTGGGCAATCAGACTTATTATTATTATGTTATGATGTTATAATAATAATAATAATAATTATTAACCTAATAATAATAATAATAATAATAATTAAAAAACGAAAATCAGGTCCTGAACACTAATAAACGGAAATCAGGTTATGGTTACAACATATTTTATTAAACATAAATTTAGCTTAAAAAACGAAAATCAGGTCCTGAACACCTAAGTATCCCTCGTCCTACGCCTGCGGTGAGAATGTCGCCCTTGTGAGGGTCCTGCATCCCGACCATCGGCATCATCACGGTCCAACTGAAGATACTCAGCGAATGGGGCGCACATGTCCTGGATCGTCCTGAAGAAGTCATCGGGGATACGCCGATATCCTGGAATAGTAGAAGGAGGCAAGTTATCGTAGAAGTACGGATGCAACACTCGGGTGAGGTCATATATAGCCGGAACTGCAGATGGCTCCGCTCTCTCAACCGGCTCGGTACTAGGATCTACACGGACGTGGGTGTGGTCTAGATACCACGGCAAATACTCCGGATCCGACTCCCAAGCTGGACGCGCCTTCCGACCATAGTAATCTCGACTAAGCATGTGCGTGTGGGGGATACTCCACATCTGATCGCCGGGCTCATAGTTAACCTTGTAAGATGCTATTTTTCTCTCCCTCTTAGCACCTTTTAGCGGACGAATTGGGTCCGCCGGTTTAATCTGCCGAAACCCGAACTGACGCAAAACTCTATCGGGCATATAAGGCTCAACGGTATCCATCCATCGAATAGTCCCGTGATGAACCGTCTTTCCAACTTCAGATGCCACTTCCAATCCAAATGGCGTCCAATTCACCTACATTCATTTAATAATACACATATATTAATAAGCATAATTAATATAAAATGATGTATCGAATCGAGACGTCTACGATTATATAATACACATAGATACTTACATCTGACGGACGCATCGAATCGAGACGTCTACGATAATCTACAAGTATATCCTCGTCCTTAGGAATATGATGTATCACCTGCCACCGTTTACACCACGGCTCTCCCGTAACATGTGCGTTAACCATCGGAGGCCGGAAACACGGAAAATACTCATATAACAACAACAACAACAGCAACAACAACAACAACAGCAACAGCAACAACAACAGCACCAACAACAACAACAACAACAACAACAACAACAACAACAACAACAACAACAACAACAACAACAACAACAACAACAACAACAACAACAACAATAATAATAATAATAATAATAATAATAATACCTCTAATAGTGTCAGACATCCAGCAATCTGCGCCGCCTCAGCTCGCGTAGCCATGCCCAACTGTCGGTACAGATAGGCCAATGTAGCCGAACCCCAAGAATACTCGCGAATCAGATTGATTTCCTCTAACAGTGGGAAAAAATCTGCTCTGACCTTCGATCCACTCTTATCCACGAACAACAACTTTCCGAGCAAGTATGCAATATATGCTCGTACTCGATACGCGGAAGGAAAGGTAGAATTGTCGCCATATTTCACCTCCAAATCATCTAACCGGGGTCCGCCACCATACCACCAATGCTCCATAAGTGCGGGGTCGACTCCGAAAGCTCTCGCACCAAGCTGGATCGCGTCGGCCTTATCCATCCAGACGTTAGGGCGAGTTCCACTAACTCGCAAACCCATGATGAAATGCACGTCGTGCAGGGTAATTGTCATCTCACCGAATGGCATGTGAAAACGTGTTGGTGTCCGGCTGCCACCTCTCAATAAAAGCCTCTATTAATGGGTTATTGTGCTGAGGCAGCGAACAATTCGGACCCCGGAGGCCAGGGGCACTTC